ACACACACTCACACAACACACACACTCACACAACACACACACTCACACACACACAAACACACACACATTTTCTTTTGAGACAGCTGTGTTACTCAGGTTAGTTTTGAACTTGCCTTGTAGCTGATGAGCTTGGGATCCTGATCCTCCTGTTTCTTCTAGGTTTGGAGTACTGAGATTACAGGTGTGCACTACTATCCCTGACTCCTCTTTATATTTTTTCTTGGATAAAGCTTGACCTTTTGTGGGATAGGTTCTTACTATATAGCTTAGGCTTGCCTTGAATTTATGATTCCTGCCCAAAATGCTAAGGTTATTACAGGTTTATTTCATCCTGTCCACCTCAAACCATTTAAACACAGTATATATGTCATTGACTCCAGGGCTGGATCTCAACATCTTAGTGTGTCCAGAGTCCTCATGGCTGTGTCCCTGAACAGACCCCCCACACCAGTGATTTCTGGAACACCTACATGCTTTTCTTCCTAATTGTCCCAGCACAGCTCTTCCCTCAAAGACTGCTAAAAGCCTACTGCTTTATAATGTTTTCCTAGTTTCTAAGGGAGATGAAAAAGCATAGTACATGAGTAAAACTGATGAAAGAGAAATGAAATTTGGGGGATGGATGGTTCTAGTGGTTCTTTTTTGTTTGTTTTTGTTGTCTTGACATGGTTTCTCTGTGCCTTTGGAGGCTGTCCTGGAACTAGCTCTTGTAGACCAGGCTGGTTTCGAACTCACAGAGATCTGCCTGCCTCCCGAGTGCTGGGATCAAAGGCATGTGCCACCACTGCCCAGCCTAGTGGTCCTTTTTTTTTAAAAAAAAATATTTATTATTTATACAATATTCTGCCTGCATGTATGCTATGATTACACGATAGAAGAGGCACCAGATCCCATTATAGATGGTTACCATGTGATTGCTGGGAGTGAACTCAGGACCTCTGAACCCTCTCTCCAGCCCTCTAGTTGTCCATTCTAAATTGATGAGTTTAGGTATCCTATCTTTTGGATTCTGTGATTAATATCCTCACCATTGTCTCCGGTTATTTCTACTACTATCACGAAATACCTGAGACTTTAATCCATTCTGTAGGTTCAGGATTGAAGGGGCATGTCTGGTGATGGCTGTCTTGCCAGCAGAATCTGGCAGTGATGCAAACCAAGAGAGCACATGGGTGACAGACAAGAGAGCACATGGGTGCACTCTGATCTCTGCCTCCTTTTGTAAAGCCACCGGTATTCGATCATGGAGCCTTCACTCTGATGACCTTACTTAATCTTAGTGAATTCTAAAGACTTTCCTCTTGATACCATAATTAGATTAGCTTTGCATTCTTTTTTTTTTTTTTTTTTTTTTTTTTTTTTTGGTTTTTAGAGACAGGGTTTCTCTGTGTAGCTTTGGAGCCTATCCTGGGACTCGCTCTGGAGACCAGGCTGGCCTTGAACTCACAGAGATCCACCTGCCTCTGCCGCCCAAGTGCTGGGATTGAAGGCGTGCGCCACCAACGCCCGGCCTTAACTTTGCATTCTTAATATCTCACAGCAGAGATTAATTCAACAATGGCTCCCAGAGGACATACACATACCTCATCCAAACCCTGGCCCTGACTGTAGAGGAACTCCAGAGAAATGGAAAGAAGGGCCAAGGGTATAGCTTGCTGGTAGAGTGGTTTCCTAGCTTGTATGAGGAGTCGTGTCCCCCCCCTGCCAGTTGTTTTTAAAAAATATTTATTTATTGTGTGTGTGTACCACACTCATGCACATAGGGATGGTAGGTAGTAGTGGTCAGAGGCCAACTTTTGGGACTCAGTTCTGTCCTTCCACCATGGACCCAGGGATAAAACTCAGGTTGTTAATCTTGCCGAGGCATCTCCCCGGCCCTTTTTCCTTTTGAGACATAATGTCACTCATTATCCTAGGATGGCTTAGAACTTACTATTCATCCCAAACTGCATTGAACTCCCAATCTGCCTGCCTCAGCTTCCTCAGTGCTGGGATTACAGATGTATACCACCACTGTCTGCTGAGGTCTGGGTTTGAGTGCCACTATGCTATTCATATTTTTACATCGTGACAGATAAAGCCTGTTAGGAAAGTTTAAAGAGGGAAAGATTTATTTTGGCTCTAGATTTTTAGAGGTTTCAGTCCATGGTTAACTAGCTCTATAGTTTTTTTTTTTTTTTTTTTTTTTGGTTTGTTGTTGTTGTTTGGTTTGGTTTTTTTGTTTGTTTTTTGAGGTAGGTTTTCTCTGTATACCTTGGCTGTCCTGGAACTTGCCCTGTAGCCCAACGTGGCCTCAAACACAAGATTCACCTGCCTATGCCTCTGAAGTGCTGGCATTTAAGGCGTACCGTTTAATCACACCAGATCTATTTCCATTGCTTTACAGCTGGAGACACCCTTACAGATACATTTAGCAGGGTGCTGACCAGTCTTTGGATGTCTCCAATCCAGTCAGGTTGCCACTCAAAATTACCATCCCATCTAGTGTCAGAAAAAAACAAGGGGAGAACAGAAGAAAGTTGTTACTAATCAAATTTCCTAATGGGCTGATTAACTTTTCTCTTTCAGTTTTATGCCTGTGAGATGGTGCTTGAGGAGGAGGGAGTCTATGGAGGTGAGCAGAGCTGAATGTGAGTGAAGGCAGAGGGAACATTTGAAGAAAGAAATCGCTCCTGTTTCCTCTTCCCTTACTCCTGTTGGTCTAGTGAGAAGTCCCCGGAGTGAGACTGGGAATAGGACCCAAATGAGAACAGTACGGGAGGCTGGGGCTAGAGTGGCGAAGGCCCAGCTGCTGCTTCTAAAATTGCCACCAGAAACAGGCAGTCTAGACGCCTCTTTGTGCCCTACTGTGTCTCCCACAGTCGTACTCCTTCCTCTCCCTTCAGCCTCATCGTGTGCCACTCATTTCCTTAACTTGTTACCTTTTTTTTTTTTTTTTTTTTTTTCTTCGAGACAGGGTTTCTCTGTGTAGCTTTGGAGCCTATCCTGGCACTCGCTCTGGAGACCAGGCTGGCCTCAAACTCACCGAGCTCTGCCTGCCTCTGCCTCCCGAGTGCTGAGATTAAAGGCATACGCCACCACCAAGGCAAGTTGTTACCTTCTAATCACCAAGGCTTTGTGCTTGCTTTTCCTCTCAATGAGATTGTGCTCTACCCTGAGGATTTCCCCCACCTAACCTTACTCAGTTTCTAAGCCCTAAGGTTACATCTTTAGAGAGGTGTTTACTTCTGTAGCTCAGGTGTTACTTGTGGGTCTGGGCAGGATGTTCCCATGTTTTCTTGGCCTTCTAGCAAAGTGATTGAAAATAAGTGCTGACATATATCTGCAAAAGAATCAAATAACTTAATTTGGAGTTAAGTGTGGGTGAAGTGTCTGTCCTGCCCAGTCCTGCAGCTGTTTAGTCCCAAATAAACACACAGATGCTTATATTAATTATAAACTGTTTGGCCGCCGGGCGTTGGTGGCACACGCCTTAATCCCAGCACTCGGGAGGCAGAGGCAAGTGGATCTCTCTGAGTTGGAGACCAGCCTGGTCTACAGGAGCTAGTTCCAGGACAGCCTCCAAAACCACAGAGAAACCTTGTCTCGAACCCCCCCCCCCAAAAAAAAACTGTTTGGCTGATGGCTCAGGCTTCTTATTGGCTAGCTCTCTCTTAATTATTAACCCATTTCTGTTAATCTGTGTATCTCCACGTGTTCTTGGCTTACTGGAGAATGCTCAGTGTCCTACCTTCTTGGTGGCTACATGGCATCCCTTTGACTCTGCCTACTGCCTTTCTTTATCCCTGTTTGGATTTCCCACCTGGCTAAATCCTGCCTGTCCATTAGCTGAAACAGCTTTTTTCATCAACCAGTAAGAGAAACATTCACAGCATATGGAAAGACATCCTCTGTCAGTTAAGTGATAGTATAGGTTATAAAAGGATACATGCCAAGATTGTCAGTAGGCTACTTGAGTGAGAGTACTCCAGGACTCCTGGCTAGTGATCTCTCTTTCTCTTTTTTGAGACAGGGTCTCTATATAGTCCTAGTTCTTCTAGAACTCACTATATATATATATATATATATATATATATATATATATATACACACACACACACACACACCTTGGCCTCAAATTCACAGAGATCCTCCTGCCTCTGCCTCCCAGTGCTGGGATTAAAGGTGTGCACTCCCACACCTGGCCTGTGATCTCTTTTTATGGGGTCTAAAGGAAGGAAGGGCTGGTAACAGTCATAGTTTGGGTGACTCTTCCTTTTCAATGATACATTAAGTCATATATTTATCTTTTCTGTTCCCCATATCTCTTCCCATAATTTGTCTAATTTTAATCATATGCTTGCCTAACTATGCATAAACGTAAGATGGTAAAGAGGAGAGTATCTCTAAGAGGTCACTTGAGGATGCAATTCAGGTCATATCAGCCCTTCTATTCTTTGTACCTGGTATATTGGAAATACACTTGAATAAAAACTGTCTAAATTTGATTGTTACTGGGGTGGAGAAATGTATAATATTGTTCAGAGATGGGAGTAGGTATAGTCTAGTGCAGGTGGAAGTTTGAGGGGTTCTGAAATTGCTATGTTGTGAGGATAGATTGTTTGGACAGGAGTGTGTGTACATAGTAAATGAAAGCTAAGGAACTACACTGCCAAGTGCATTATTGTAAGGGCCGGGGAGCTGTATGTAAGTAAAACTAAACAGAGTCTCAGACTAAACTCTCCTATGCTTGACTACTTTACAAGCAGTCCTTGAGCTTGTAATCTTGCCCCACTTTCCTGCAGAGCTGGTCTTATAAGCCTAGGACATCAGGCTTGGCTTTATTTTTTATTTGAAGTACTGGGTATGGTGTGTGTAAAGAGCCTTGCATATGCTAGGCAAGTGCTCTACCACTGAGCTATATTGTGGCTCTTTTTTTAACTATTTATTTATTTATTTATTTTGGAAACAAGTGTCTCTCTTGTAGACCAGGCTGGACTCGAACTCACAAGTGTCTCTCTGTGTATCCCTAACTGGCCTTGAACTCAGAGATCTGCCTGCCTCTGCCTCCTGAGTGTTGGTCTTAAGGGTGTGCACCATCATGGCTGTTCTCTATTACTTTCTTATGTTGGGTCAAAGTTTCACTAAGTTACTTAAGCTGCCTTTGCACTCTAAAGCCTAGACAAGCTGGGAAGTCATTCCTTTACTTTTAGTTGTGGTTAACCCAAGGAATATTTGTGCTCATAGTTTTTCTGATGGGACTAGAACCTAGGGACTCATATATGCAAAGCATGCATTCTACACTGCAACCCCAGGGCTTACTATTTTGCTTTTTGCGGAGTATAACTATAATAAATATTGTATCATAATTCGTCTGCTGCATTTGTCCATCACTAGATCATTAGTTCCAGAAGATTGTGAGGGAGCCCATTTTGTTCACTGCTGTCTTTCCAGTGCTTGATACAGTCCTACATGTAGGTGAATTTCAGTATTATTTGCTGGATCATAAATGCAGATGAATGTTTTCTCAGCACTTGTTCTTGACCCCCTAATATAAACCACTATTTACCACATTGCTTTGTGAGCTGCTGTGTACATGTCTACTTCTCTGACTGCATTAGATACTCCTTCAAGGCAGACTGTTTCTTACTCTGAGTCTTCAGTACTAACTGTAATAATTGGCATATAGCAGTCACTCAAACATCCGTTGCATGACTATAGCAGACCTTCATTTAGCATGTAACCAAGTACCTTTTGCCTGAAGGCTGATGTTCTCTGTCCCCACAGATGTGAGCTGTGATGAATGGGCCTTTTCTCTGCTGCCTCTCGATGTGGATCTGCTGAGCATGGAACTGCCAGAATTTTTCAGGGATTACTTCCTGGTAATGCAGGGCCTTGAATCTTGGTACTGAGAGATTTATGGGGTTCAGTGGACTAGGAATATTGACACCTTTTTTCCAACTCATGTAATTATTTATCATGAGTGACAGTGATTTCACAGTTGAAGGCTGCAGGTTGTTTTGGATAGCACTTCTGTCAGGACAGTGTTAGCTATTGCTGTGGTCAAACAGGTGAGAAAGCCTCTTACAGAAAGAAAGATTTATTGTTTTCACTCATGATGTCAGGAGTTTCAACTCATCATGTCTGAGAGGGCACAGCAGAACAACTCATGATGACCAGGAAGAAAGAGAGAGAGTACCTGCTTTAGCAGGCTTTCTCCATCTGTTCCCCTTATCCTGCCTAGGGACTTACTCAGTCATGGATGGTCTGTTCCCCCTCAGGGTAGTCTTATCTTGCAGTTGTCCTCTCTGGAGATACCCTCACACACATACCCAGGGTTAGCCTTACTACTCTCCTAGTGCTTTGCACTCCATCATGTTGACTGTTAACCATCACAAAGGGCCGTAAAATGAACTTCTTCCGCATTCCCCAGATACCACCATCCCCCTCCAGGGCATCTAGGGCTAGCCATTCTCCGCTGCATCAGATGGGTTGACATGGGTCCTTGTGGGCATGTGGTCTCTGCAGGAAGGTGACCAGCGTTGGATCAACACTGTGGCTCAGGCCTTGCATCTTCTCAGTACTCTCTATGGACCCTTTCCTAACTGTTATGGCATTGGCAGATGTGCCAAGGTACGAGTATGAGCAGAACTCTTGTCCTTAAAGCCTATTTTCTGTTTTCTTTACCCAACAAAGGTTATCCCTAGGCATCTGTGGCATAAAGGATATTCATTCCCTAGCTTTTATGTCCCAGGATGGTTGCCTTAAGAGGAAAGTCGGTGTGGCCAACAGAAGCAAGAGCTAGGTTACATCCTAAGTCTATTTTGGGGGCAGGGGAACATTTTCCCCAGTGATGTGGGAGAATAGGCTCATATTCCTCGCTGTTAACTCCCTTCTTGGGGACAAGACAGAGTATGCCACGGAAGGGGTTGGCCTCTGTATGTATGGGACTTCAAGAGGACCTGGACATAAAACAGATTGTTTTGGGCTCTGGTAGATGTCATATGATCTGTGGAGGAAACTGGAGGAGGAAGAGGACAGTGAAACCAAAGGTCGAAGACCAGAGATTGGACACATCTTTCTCCTAGACAGAGGTAAATGTTGGCCAGCGCTCTTCCATCTTTGGGTCCCAGAAGGCAGGAATATGGAAAATGTGCTGGCAAAGTTGGGGTCCTAAAGTGAGGGCTGTAAAAATCTTCATAGTGATTGTGAACATGGGCACTTGTGGAAGTTCTTGAGCTGACACTGAGCAAACTGAATAGAAGCTGGGTCTGGGGCTTCACTGTTGGGATCTTGGTTTCAGACATGGACTTTGTGACAGCACTTTGCTCCCAAGTGGTTTACGAGGGCTTGGTAGATGACACTTTCCGAATCAAGTGTGGTAAGTGTTGTGATCCTCTGCATCTTGCCAAAGTGGAAATGACCCCAGCCTCTGGCAACTCCCATAGTAGAGCAGTACTTGTAGGGGAGACTGGGGATGATAGGAGACCTTTAGCTGAGGTCAGAAATGAGTAGAAGGCCCACAGTGGAGTTCCTAATACCTGTCTCTCTGCCCTCAAAGGGAGTGTCGACTTTGGCCCAGAAGTCACATCCTCTGACAAGAGCCTGAAGGTGCTACTCAATGCTGAGGACAAGGTGAGGGTACCCATGTAACAGGGTATTTACCCAGGACCACTGCTACACAAAGCTGCGGTCCAGCCCTGGGCAGGAGGCTGAATCCCTGGGAGGTTTCCCCCTATCGATTAAGATCAGACCCCAACCAGGCATGGTGGTTCCCATCTGTAATTCTATCTTTTGGAAGATGGAAACAGATGAAACAAGAGTTCAAGACCAGCCTCAGCTACATATGACGGTCTCAAAATCTAAAAATAAATAACCCAAAAGATTAGATCCAGAACATAATGGATGGACCTGGTACCCGCCTTCTAATACCATCTTGGCTCTGGTGATACATTGGCTAGTACAACACTTCGTATGCTGTTATTATACTCATGAGGTAGGCTGGGGCCTGTTACAGTTCTGGCATAGTAAGTAGTTCCTGTCTTGTTCTCTCACAGGTGTTCAACGAGATCAGAAATGAGCACTTCTCCAATGTCTTTGGCTTCTTGAGCCAGAAGGCCCGGAACTTGCAGGCCCAGTATGATGTAAGGTTCCAAGCCCTACTCTGTTGTGCTTCTTCAGTGTTCCCGTTCTAGTCCTATGATAGGCCTCCTGTGTCTGCTCATGGGTGGGCAGCAGTTGAGGGAGGTTTCTCAGGGGGTGCTGACCTATGGGGACATCTCCACAGCGCCGGAGAGGCATGGACATAAAGCAGATGAAGAACTTCGTGTCCCAAGAACTCAAGGGACTAAAACAGGAGCATCGCCTGCTGAGTCTCCGTAAGTGCTAGCCTGGGGGTAAGGGAAGGTGACTGTGTGTCCTCCAGGGTAATGCTGCTGACAGTCATTACCTTCTTCCAAGAGGAGACTCTTGTTCTCTTGGCAGATAGTCTCAATTGGTTTAAAATAGGGAAAAGTGCCTATGGATTTTCCTTTATGAGCTTTTTATTCTAGCAATCAAGGACTATCCTTCTAGAGCCAGGAAAGTCAGTTTTTTGTCCTGTCTGCAGATATTGGGGCCTGTGAATCAATCATGAAGAAGAAAACTAAGCAGGACTTCCAGGAACTAATCAAGACTGAGCATGGTAAGTGCAGGAGCCTCACGCAGTTCTTCTCCTGCTCCTACCCCTCTGGCTCCTAGCTCTCTTCAGCTGACAGTGCTGGCTGTGTAGAATGTTGGGGGTCCCTCCACTCCACCCAAGGATGGAGAAAGAGATAAGGTGACAGACAAATCTTAGCCAAGCTGATCCCCAATGATGGGCTGTTTTCTGATCTCTCACAGCGCTACTGGAGGGCTTCAACATCCGAGAGAGCACCAGCTACATCGAAGAACACATAGACCGGCAGGTGAGTGTGTGTGCTGGGCGGCTGTGGATGGGGTTTAGGGTGGGGTTGCCTAAGCAGAAGAAAGAGAAGAGCATGCATCCTGAAATGTCCAGTCTCCTGACCCTTCCTTCCTGTGCAGGTGTCACCAATAGAAAGCCTTCGCCTCATGTGTCTTTTGTCCATCACTGAGAATGGTGAGCCCAAAAGATTAAAGCCTCAAATGCTGGATTCAGGAACAGAAGGATTGATTTGCAAAGACGAATTTCCGAAAACAGGATTTTTTGTTTGTTTTTTATTTTATTTTTTGTCATTTATTTAATTCATTTTCCTTTAAAAGGAAGGTTGCCTTGTTTGTGGTAGATCATCAGCAGGTCATGGGAGCTCACTGTTCAGCTCTAAACAGGGCCACCTCCAGCCCACTCCATGATGCCTGTCATGTTAGGTTTGCAGTGGCATTTCTCTCCTCAGTCCATTTGTCCTGTCTTCAGTAAGATTTCCTGAGAAAGCTTAAGGCCCACACCTTTAATCCTAGCACTTGGGGGCCAGAGACAGGCATGATCTTGGTGATTTCAAGGCCAATCTGGTCCACAGAGTGAGTTCCAGGATAGCCAGGGCTGTTAACACAGAGAAACCCTGTCTCGAAAAACCAAAAACCAACCAAACAAAAAAACCTTACTCTGGAACCAGGAAAAATGACTTTAAAAAAGTAAGCACTTCCATAAAGCCCCAATTCTGTACCCTTTCATGGCAACATGTTTTTACTGTTGACCCTTTCAGTGGTCAGTGAACCACTCTGCTCTCTTCCTGGAGACACATTCTGCTTCCTCTAGGTATGAAGCCCAACTTCATAACTCTGTGGAGAAAAACATTTGAAATCTTTGGAATTCTTCACTCCTTTTGTTTCCCAGTAGCTGTAAATCAGTTCCAATACCTGTCGCCTTGCTGGAATGTACAGGAGGTCCTGCCTTTCTCCTGACACATCTTTCACATTCTCTCGATGGGATTGGCGAGACTGTCCTCAGCTCCTGTGGCTGCCTCAGAGCTCTTCTTTAGACCAGACACTGGGCTTCAACTTCTGAGCAAATTACGTTAGGCCGTCCATTTGCAATCAGCTAGGACCTATTCACAGTCCTTCCTCTTGGTTATGGTGTGGTTTGATTGGTTTGGCTGTCCCCTTCTGGGCCCTCAGCTGGCCTTTGTTTTCTCATGTACCTGCCTTCTTTTCTGTATTCTTAGGATTGATCCCAAAGGATTACAGATCCCTGAAAACACAGTATCTGCAGGTAAGACTGGGGGGATATGATCTTTCTTTCCATTTAAAAATTACATTTGCCCTGCAGTGGTGGCTCATGCCTTTAATTCCAGTACTCAGGAGGCAGAGGCAAAGGCAGGCAGATCTCTGTGAGTTCCAGGCCAGCCTTGTGTATAGAGCTAGCTCCAGAACACCCAGGGCTACATAGAGCAACCCTGTTTCAAAAAACAAAACAAAACAAAAAAAAATAGTTTCTGCTACTTTTTTCACCTCCTTGTTGTTGCTATACACAAGATCTGTTGCCATACACAGAGTAGACTCTGCAGAGAACAACTATGGATTCTTCCCCTCCCCTCTGCATCACTAACAGTGCTGGTTGTTTTGTAAGCAATCAGTGGATAACTGACTTGCAAATCTAATTTAGAGCTATGGCCCTGAGCACCTGCTAACCTTCTCCAATCTGCGCCGAGCTGGACTTCTAACAGAGCAGGCTCCGGGGGACACCCTCACAGCAGTAGAGAATAAAGTGAGCAAGCTGGTGACTGACAAGGCTGCAGGTGAGCCCCCATCTCCCCACCCCTGGGAACTGTTCCTTGTTTTATATCAGGTGGAGCCTTCTGAGATAGAGGGGATAGAAAGGGATGATGTCACTACAGCTGCTACTTCTGCTAGTAAGAGCAGTTTCCATAGACTTTATACTGTCTCAGTTAGGGTTTCTATTGCTGTGAAGGGACACCATGACCACAGCAACTCTCATAAATGAAAACATTCAATTGGGGTGGCTCACTTACAGTTTCAGAGGTTCAGTCCATTATCATTATGGTGGGTAGCTGAGAGTACTAAATCTCGCAGACAACAGGAAGTCAACTGAGACACTGGCAGTATCTTGAGCATAGGAAACCTCAAAGCTCACCTCCACAGTGACACACTTCCTCCAACAAGGCCATACCCTCTCCAACAAAGCCACACCTCCTAATAGTGCCACTCCCTATGAGATTATGGGGCAATTACATTCAAACTATCACACATACTTAGCATGTGCTGACTTTTGACTTATGAGTTGTCACTTTATCCTTCAAGAGGAAGGTGTTTTTCCCTTGTTTTTCTTCTGAAGAAACTGAAGCTTAGGGAAATTGACTTGTTCACAGTCCCTCACTACATTAGGCTCATTGTATTCTAATGTTGGTGCCTAACCTTGTATACTGCATTGAGTGGGCAGCTGATACTCTGTAGGGGAAATACAGTATGCTGAATGTCTTGATCAGTTCCAGGGAACTGTAGGGAATGATTTCAGTGGCAGGAAAGATGGGGCAGGGCATTGGTGTATCATTCTTTCCTACCCTCAGTGGTGTTGTGAATCTATAGATACAAGGTGGAACCTAGCACAGATTTCTTCCCCAGGAAAGATCACTGACGCCTTCAGTTCTCTGGCCAAGAGGAGCAATTTTCGTGCCATCAGCAAAAAGCTGAATTTGGTATGTGGAACATTTATTGTTTCTTGATAGTGTACTTTGAATCCATATTAACCTGTATGTTGTTGCATTTTCTTCGTGTGTGTGTGTGTGTGTGTGTGTGCGCGCGCGTGCGTGAATACTTACATACTATAGCAATAGTACACATGTAGAAATCAGAGGAAAACTCAGGTATCAGTCCTCATCTTCCACCTCATTTGAGATGACATCTGTGTTGTTTTTCCAGTCTAGCCATCTCTCAGCCCTGTGACATTGCATTTTTATGACAGTCCTTTGGCAACTTTACAGCATAAGCTTAATTTAGTGATAAGACAAAACATAAAGAACCACTGTTTAATAAACATGTAATAGCACCTGTCAATGCTAGAGAACACTGAGAAGTATGGGTTTCCCTGCTCCCTGTCAAGGGGCTAGAGAAAAGAACTGGAAAAGAGCCCTCCATCTAGCACCTTCACAGAGAGCAGAGGAACTCCTAGAGAGGAGAGGCAGGTATTCAATACAATGGTTGTCTTGGCTATGGACCCCTGTTTTCAGGGCCTTTGCTGGCTCTCACTAGTTAAAATGTGAACTTGGGGTGTGCTACTTTTATCAGACCTTTAAAAGGATAGAGTGTTGAGCTGTGACCTGTCTAATGCTAATGTAGTACCTTTGCCCTCTAGATCCCACGTGTAGATGGGGAGTATGACCTGAAAGTCCCTCGAGACATGGCTTATGTCTTCAGTGGTGCCTATGTGCCTCTGAGCTGCCGAATCATTGAGCAGGTGAGAAAGAATCACTTTTGCCTTATTCCTATTTCATTCTTTAAGCTTCCTCTTGGTCTTTGGCCGATCTCAACTTTCACTTCTCAAACAAGACACATGAGTTTTGCTGGTATTCCTTTCCTTTGCCAAACTTTCTGTCCGGAGACTTGAAACCAGTGTTTATACCTTCCTAGGTGCTGGAGCGACGGAGCTGGCAGGGCCTGGATGAAGTGGTACGGCTGCTAAACTGCAGTGAGTTTGCATTCACAGGTATGTAGCATTGCTAGTGGTGCAGGGGATAGAAGAGGGGTGGACTGGACACATCACCCAGAACTAGTGTGTGAGCGAAGGTGGGAGTCTACTCTGCTCTTTACAGACATGGCTAAGGAAGACAAGGCTTCCAGCGAGTCCCTGCGCCTCATTTTGGTGGTGTTCTTGGGGGGCTGTACATTCTCAGAGATATCAGCCCTGCGGTTTCTGGGCAGAGAGAAAGGTAAGAGAAAGAAAGTAAGAGCAGGGATGCGTGGGTCCTGGGGAACACATGCCCTGCACAGGAAGGCTTTCCTTCTGGCTGTGGTACCACTTGCATAGCCTTGCTTTGGGTTGCTATAGCAGGAGGCAGGAGAACCCAGATCCATAAGGGATGGCACATTATAATGCCCCAGAGACTGCTACTGATGCTCTAATCTTCTATTTTTCTTCCAACTTGCTGGAGCCAGAGTCTTACTCTGTTGCCCAGGCGGGTCCAGATGTTTCTATGCCTGTAAAACCTACATTCTGATGGGGGCACTGTGCAACTGGTGGGCTTGCTCTGTTGGGATCTAAGATCTGCTTTTAGTCACTTCTGCTGCTTGTCTTGACTCTTAGGGTACAGATTCATCTTTCTGACAACAGCCATTACAAACAGTGCTCGCCTCATGGAAGCCATGAGTGAGGTGAAAGCCTGAAGTTTTCTTGGCCAGTATCTGATTGTGGACCCCAGTGGGATGCTGGTGTTTGACCTCCACCTGCTAGAAGAATCCCTCAGCTATACTTCTCGGAGCTAGGGACTTTGAAACTAATTTGGGCTTTAGAGAACATGTCTGAGGAGAGAATTCATGTTCTGTCCCCCAGGATATTATTTTGTTTATAAATTTAGCCCATGCTGCTAAGATATGCAGGGAGAGGTATCCTTTGCTAAATCCTATTTGAATATTATTGTAAATAAAGCCTCTGTTCTCAAATGCAACATCTTGTTAGTTCTAAATACACGCTCCCTCCTTTACACAGTTGGCTGACCTAAGGGCTTCATATGCTTCATGGCCTGGACTCTGGGCCTACTTCAGTTCTTCCTAGTAACAGTCAGCTAGCATGCTCTGCACCAGAGTTTCCTCAAGTGTAAAAGGAGGAGGGTGGATTCAGTGGTCAACAAATACTTTTCCATTCTAAAATTCTGTGGTTCATTACACTTTCTGAAAACAAATCTATTATTGCTCTAACTTAAAGAGACACTCTTGTTTTGTTTTGTTTGTTACTTTTTTGAGACATGGTCACTGGCTAACCTAGACCTATATAAACCAGGCTGGACTTGAACTTGCAGCATGCTTGTAGGGAAAAAGGGCCAGCCAAAGAAATACACTTTGGCCTTGCAACCAGAACCAAAGAAATACACCCTGGCCCTAAAACGAGAGCCAAAAGGCCAAAAAAGGACCAGTGAAAGAAACACACTTTGGCCCTGAAACCAGAGCCACATCTGACCCTAATCCTTGGAGAAGACTAACCAATCCCTGAGCAAGAGATCTAGCCATTTTAAACTCAGGGATTGAAATCTGACCAATCCCCACCCTGGAAAAACTCCACCCCCTAAGAATCCCTATATAAACCCTGTGTCTGTCTGTTCAGTTTGTGGCTGTCCCGCTGTCTTCTGTCTTCTGCCACTGTGGCAGAGGACAGCCACTCTCCTGGATTCTTCCTTCCCAATAAATCTCTTGAATGAGGTTTGGGTGAGACCTTCTTTGGCCAGATCAGAGACAACTCTGTATGGAGCAGAATAGAGCAGTACTGTAGCACTTTTTGCCAGGAAACCTTCCCCTGGCTAAGCAGAGTTGAACTGTAACAACTTTGCCAGGGAAACCCTTTCCTGTTCCTGCTGGAGCAGAGCTGATACACTGGGAAGCCTTCCTGAAGCAGGGCTGTAAGCTGCTATGCTTACTGTGACCTGTGGTATTCCTTGGCTCCTGAGTGACAGAATACCTTTTTCATCCAAGCTGTAATATTCAGTATTCTGTGACTCCCAAGTGCCAGAATATTTTCCATTTGAGCTGTAACACTCCGTATTTTTTGGCTCCCAAGTGCCATAATCTATCCCCTTCCATCCCATCCGAGCTGTCACAGTGTTTACAATTCTTCCTGACTCCCAAGTGTTCTGACTACAGGTTTGTATTACTGTGTCTAGTAAATAAAATGTTTTCTGAAATTAAGAAAAACACCTTTCTGATGCCTGGCCACAGGCATGGTGGCTTTCTATAATCCCAGCACTTGAGAGGCTGAGGCATAAGGATCACTCACAAGTTCAAGATCAGCTTGAGCTATGTAGTGAGTTTCATACCATCCTGGGCTACAGAATGAGACCTTGTCTCAGAAAAACAAAACAAGGCCTGGCTTTGTAACATTTGGTAGTACATGTCTTTAATCCCAGCACTCAAAAACCAAACAAGCAAACCATAAATAAACAGGCTGGGTTCTAGGCTGGGTGGTGGCATGCTCCTATAATACCCATTAGTCGGGAAGCAAAAGCAGGCAGATAGATATGTGTGAGTTTGAAGCCAACCTAGTCAACAAAGCAAGTCCCAGGACTGTTACACAGAGAAACCTTATGTTGAAATACCAAAACAACAAACAAAACAACGAACAACGGGGTGGGGGGGGGTATCTCCAGACGTAAAATAAAGTTTTATTTGTTGGCTTAGAGCTTGTTTTACTCTGGCTGGCTTAGAATCTAGGCAGACCAGGGTGGCCTCTAACTCAGATCGATCTGCCTGAGTACTTGAGATCAAAGGCATATACCACCATACCTAGTCCTGCTATGTTTACTTTTAAAGAAAAAAAAAAAAGCCAAAGATGGACTAGGGAAGTGGCTCAGTAATTAATGGGTGCCGCAGTGGTTCTCAACCTTCCTAACGTTACAACCCTTTTACACTTCCTCATGCTGTGGTGACCCCAGCCATAAAGTTATTTCCTTGCTACTTCATAACTGCAATTTGGCTATTGTTAGGAATCGCAATGCAGGATATCTGATAATTGACCCCTGTGAAAGGGTCGTAGGCCCAACTAGAGGAAGGAGAGAACTTGAATCCTCTAAATTGCCCTCTAGTCTCCATACATGACCACCCTGGAGACACACAAATTCAGTAAATGTAAAATTATAAAAAAGAAAAGGCAATGATGAGAATTTATAGATGGTACAGTTGGCCAATATAGAAAAATAGATAATTTCAGTTACAATTTAGTGTAAACCACACAAGATAATGTCGGATTGTGTTTTGTTTTGGATCTATAGACAGAGCAGAGTGGTTTAAAGCTCATTAATATTTACTGTTGTGGATAACAAGGATACTCCAAGTAAAGCTTGGTGGAGATGACAGGTTAATAAATACAACCTCTTTGGAGTGTTTCAAAATTACACTTATACAAATCATTTCGAAAAAAGTAACAAAAACCAAATTCATCTCAGCTTTACTTACAAATTGTAGTCTGACTAGCAGCAACATGCTTAACTTCAAAGATACAGCCATGCCAGGAAAATGTGACACAGGTGCAACCAATGACCAGTGGGAAGGAAAGGACACACCAGTGCTTCGATGTCAGGTTCGAATTGTGAAGTTTCCCTAATTTACCTAAATTCCTATAATTTGTAAGAAAAACAAAGCCTAGCTTTTCCCCATTTGGTCACAGCTTAATTAGGCAAGTAAGTCATCCAGTTTTTTGTTTTTGTTTTTTGTTTTTTTTTCTGGCAACACAGACATCGGTTCACCCTCCTGCCTTAGCCTCCTAAGTTATGAAAAAATTACTCAAATCTTTTCAAGTTTTTTTCTTCAGTATAATGAAGATCATTATTAACAAGTTTGTCTTAATGATTAAATGCGATAAACTTGTCTACAAAGGTACCAAGCCCAAGGTCCTGGTTTGGTCTTCTGTAAGCTTTCCTGCTAACCCCTGCTTCTCTTGGGACGTTGGAGAATAGCGAGTTGTTGAGCTGCTCTGGTAGTCTCCTTAGTCACTGCCACCGAAGCACAAAATTTCGAAACATAACGGCGCCCGCCGGGTGGGGCTCGGGTGACATCATCGTCCTCCTCCCTCCCTCTCTCCTCCCCCAGTTTGAGGCTTTAGCGGAGCTGTGGAACCCAGGGACTAGGCGTGCGCATGCGTGTGCCGAGACTCGCGCGCTGCCTTTGCAAGTGCTTCCCACGCCCGGGGCGCAGTCTGTAGGTACTTCAGCCCCCAGGCCTAGGAGGGAGCTCCAGCCGCACAGGGGCGGAACGAGGGCGGGGCTCCGTGAGTGGCGGAAACAGGAACCAATAGTCGGACGGCTCCGCCTCCGGCTGGGTTTGAATTCTGCGCGGTCCAACGGCTCGAGATCAGAGACCAGACGCGGCTCACGGCGAAGGTGGTTGCGGTTGGTTACTGTCCTCCGTCCCTCGTGAGGGAGGTGGAGGGTCTCGATTCTTGACTGCTTGAAGCCTCCGCCATGAGGAGAAGGTACTGGTCTCTTAGGGGAGGAAGCTAATACTAAAATGCGGTCTGGTACCAGGTTTGAGAGCCAGCGTACGCCCGGGCTCAGGCCCCAATGTCTGAGGCTGGGTCACTGGGTCGTGCTCGGAAGGGCAGCTGGGCCCGGGGCGACTAGCGGGGCGAGCAGCGAGCCTGACAGTGTAGCGTGGAGGCCCGGGTGGGTGCTTCTCAAGCCCAGGCTCAGCTGACCGCCGATCGCAGGTGGGAGAGCCGCCGCTGGGGCCGCCTCAGATCCCTGCTCCTCCGCCGAGGTGCAGCTTCTGACAGCCGCTCCGTGTAAATGTTGAGCCTGTAATGGTGTTGGCTTTTCATTTCTCTAAAGCCTGGAACCTCATTGCTCGGCAGGTAAGGCAAGATTGCCTTGAGGTTAGCCTAGGCTACGCAGTGAGACCGGTTCAAAAAGCCGAGAAGTTTTAAGTGTTAATGTTAAAACTTGAATTGGTGTTAATGTTTTACTTGAATTGGAAAATGGCTTGGTTTCCTTGCAAGCTAACAAACTCAAAGTGCGGAATTTTTTTTTTTTTTCCTGATCGTTTTAAGATTCCCAGGCACTGCTTTTGGGAGTGTCTCAGTTTGCAATCGAACCAGAACTGACTGTTGGGGCAAGAGGCTGAATGCCAGTCTTCGCACTTCTGAAATAATAGGGCTCTGTGCTGAGGCTGTACAAATGCCTTCTGAAAGTAGTGAGTGAAGTACTGTGAAATTTGTATGAGCTTGTAGTTATTGACTCTGTAATTTGTAAGAGTCTTGGTTAAGTGATTATTGATTTTGATCCTATTTTTTACCCATAGATACTTGGCCTCGAGAATGGGAATAGAATGAAAACACGTAATGAACAGTAATGTGAATACAAATTCAGTACAAGGCCAAGGATTCCAGATGATTTCATCTGAATGACATTATACTTAAGCTTTTCTAGGACTAAGATAGTGGTGCTTTATGAAGACTAGTAAAACCTTAAATGACATTTAAAGGAAACTAGTATTCTAAGTCTATTTGGATACAGTGATCCTCACCTGTAATCTACAGATTTCAGAAGCCCAAGGGAGGAGGGTTCAAGACATCCTGAACTATAGAGAGAGATCCTGTCTCAAATTTGGAGACCCAAACAGCTGAGTGTGGTGGCACACATCTGTACTCCCACAGCTCTCTGGGAGATAAAGAAAGGCAAGGAGAGTCTAGTTTAAGGCCAGACTAACATAGAGACAGTCTCTCAGAAAGTTTGAGTGTGTGTGTATGTGTTGTTCAAGCATCTTCTGGTTTTTTGTTTGTTTGTTTGAGACAGAATTTCTCAGTAGTCCTGGCTGTCTTGAACTGGCCTTGAACTCTGAGAGATCCACCTGCCTCTCTGCCTCCTGAGTTCTGGGATTAAAGGCTTGTGCTACCACCCCCAGCATGAATTTTTTTCTTTTTAAATTTCAAGCCAGGATCTTATTCTGAGTACAGGAAGACCACACC